GGAACAAAAATTAATAGAGAAGAAATACCATTACTCACTGCTACCCCTAAAGCCGTCTCACTCTGGCCATTCACACCATTCATGGGCTATTATTGTAGCCACTTGCCCAACTGTCTTGCCATAATCATCACGGTCATATGTACTAACTCATGACTAACTCATGGACTAACTCATGAAATATCAACCAAAATACCGAAATGCGGCTTCGTTTAAAAAAATAATTACATAGGATTGTAAAACTGGTCATTGTGCAGCCCAAATCTATAAGAAGTCAGTTACCTCAGGATGCCGACTTTCGAAGGAACTTTTTTTCGGAAAAAAAAATACTCTGTAAAAATGACTATTTAGTAGCATGCTTGTTTCTCATTCATTTTTGATGGCCTTAACATGTAATTATATTTCTGGGAAACATGCATAAACATATTCATCCTTCGAAGTTTTGGTGGGATATTACGACTTCTTCCAAATTTCTTCTGAAATAGGATATAATTCGGTATTTAAAAAGTATCTATTTGTGGGATATTTTAATACCGTGAAATGGCCGTTCATAAAACATCGTGTCTCCGTATTTGCTAATGATTCTCGAAGATTATATAATATGGCTCAAATCCCCGATGATTAGTTTTAAAACTGTATTTAATCAATCTTTTCAGACAGTAATGCATTTCGGAATTTCAATTGTCATTTCATGAGTTAGCCCACCTAATGTATCTAAGTATGCTTTAGCCTGACCGATTCCCACGATTCTCATCCTGACAATGAGCACGGTGTAATGTTTGGCTATCTTGCCTCTACTTTCTTTATCCCATTTTCCCTTTTCTTGGTTTTTTTCTTAACAAAGCCTTTGCGTGTTTTTTGTGTTCTTCTGTTTTCCTCAAAGGGTTTTTTATGCAAGTCAATTTATGCTTTTACAATTAAATTGTCTCTTTTTCGCTGACGGGCAATGCATATTGGCTCATCCTTGAACGTTTATTTTGAAGACACGCTGAAGTATTATTTTAAATCAGATCTTGCCTGGAGCCGTACTGTCCATATGCTCATTCTATTTCGTGTGTTCATGATATCTATATCAGTAACAATGGTTTATTCATAAAAACTGGCTTAGTAATGCATATATGACCCTGCATAGTATGCAAACATTTTGACAGCTAACGCCGGCCTACGTTTCGTATTGGCTTACAAAAATGTGCTAGGTTGTTCGAAAAAAGGAAATTCCCAACGAATTTCAGTATGAGCCTCCACAATGATTTACACAGTCGACTTCTGTGCGATCAGGGCATGTCCAGAGCAGTTTAGGTGGTAGTGAATAATACTACCTAAATATAAATCAAACACGTTTCACAACGGTAAGGCTGAAACAAAATATCGATGCTGGTTAAACAAACATCATTCGTCATGAATCGGAAGGCTTTTGATTATTTTTTTCTCTTGACGAGAACTGGAGGCTATACGAGATGTTGCCGTTCTTGCATTAAAACCTTGGACCGTCCGACGGAATTTTTCGTACACTTGTAGAATCGTCTGAAACTGCCGAAAGCAGCAACAAATCAAACAAAACACTCTCTCCTGGATCTGCTGACCAGCCGAATTCTTCGGATGCCATCAAAGGTTCATTTATTACTGTCGTCGGCTTCTCTCTCCTATGGCTGACCTCGAAGGGCACATTCTGATTGACATCTACTTCAAACGTCTGCGTTGCTTTTTCCGACTTCCTTAACTGGAATGATGCGGACGATGTCATCTGTCATTTTCAGTTTTTGTTTGCCATAGAATGCAAGTAAATAAAAACTCAGTTTTATCTCTAACGATCTTACGCAGAAACAATCCGTTTTTTGTAGGTCAAGGGAAAACTGCGTGGACAGGTGATTTGTTGTTTAATAGTGTGATTTCAAGTTGAATTTACTTCAAACCGATTTTCGACAGAAATTGTCCTAAATCGGTAGACAACTGTAACCGCTAAATGTAGAGGATTAGTCTGATATTGGAACATGTCGTTGTCAGATCCACAGCCGTCGATCATGTCTCGATTTGTAATAAAACGCACCGCTGTTCTGGACGGTGTTTGCTAGCACGGCAACATTTTATTTGCAGTTCAGATTTCAAATTCAAGAACCGGAGATAATTGTGATCGTAGTTCAACCTGCCACCGCGTATCGCAAAACAGTCTGTTTTGAAAAATTTACTGCAAGTTCGCGCATTAATTTCCTCGGAAATTAAACAAGACAATGCTGTATTTTATTCGCAGTTCAGATTCTAAATTCGAGAGCCGGAACATATAGTGATTGCATTTTAAATTGCCAGTGCGTATCGCAAAACAGTCTTTAGCGCTATGGAATGACCTTTTGAGAGGATGCAGTCCCGAGAGACACCTGAGCCTACATCAAAGAAATTAATTAACTCTCCCCTAAGCATTTAGCAAAACCTTGAGGCGAACAGGGCTTCGTGTTCTTCGGCACCATAGCGGTGCCCTGTTTATCCAGCATCTTCAGTGTTTTGCGCGATTTGTTCACATTTCTACAAATGTACGTAATGTCATGGGATTAATGGATATCCCGGAATCGCCGGCTTCGTGAAACTTCCTAAGATTCGGATTCTTTTGTGCATGATCATTCTGCACAAAAATTGTCTCGTCTGCGAGCAGAAAGCGTGAATTTACGTGGAGCGTATGACAAAATAGCATTAGGTTAAATTGAGAAGAGGCAGATATCGACCGCTTCAGATATCAGTCAACAAACAGCAATTGCAAAATGCAATAAATGCGAAGAAGAAAACACAGCCTCCAGGGCAGGATCCGCGCCAGTTGCCTCAAACGGTAAGCCGCTTTGCAGTCAATGCATTTACGCACATTCAAGACGTCCCTACCCCTGAAGCACAATGATTACAGCAGAACTGCAACCATGAAATTTGGCGGGAAAAATATCGCAGGCGGGTGTGTTGATATCGAGCAAGTTAGATTAATGGATCTTCCAGTAACTGCAAAAATAATAAGCCGATCAATGCCATCCCGAAGTAAATTTTTATTTAGCCCCTATTACCTTAGTTTTATTAAGGAAGCGATAGCCGAACACCTAAGGTAAATATTTTAAAGGATGTATTTTATTGTAGCTTCAACTTGTGGGTGCAGTATTGTTGGGGTTTGGATTGAGGGTTAGTGTTAGGGGTTTGGGTTATGGTAAGGGGTTAGCGCAATTATTTTTCAACCATCTAAAGTACAACCGCTCATTCCCAATAACATTTCTTTTGTATTCAACTACTTCACGTCGTCTCCTGTGCTTTCCCCGGCCCCACATATAAAAACACTCATTAACACTTACGCAGCATTAGAGGTCACGGGATCTGGGTTACTCCAGTTCCGGCTACATAACCACATCCGACCAATATATTCAGAAGCAAGTACGAATAGCTCAAACCTTCCTAAACTCCAAATTCCCTATTCGGGACTTCGAAATTTGCATAACCGTCCACAGAAACTGACTTAGGGAAACATATGCAACTTGGTGTGTGCTGAATTATAGCCCAGTTGAAAGGCATTAAGCTTGTTGAATGGCGATAATGTACTAGAGCTAAACACGCGGCGACGGAATTTCGCATTTGAGGTAATAATAAATTAATGCTACTTCGGATATGTACCATGAGGCGGGTGTTATTTTACTAACTCCGTAAATTAGAACGCAGGTATATAGGTGGAGGCCTGGTGCGTATAAACAGAGAAAGCGAGGAAAGTAACGAGTACATATCAGTGCGAATAAATATCACCCTCCATTATAAGTGTTTGCTTGAGCATATGCATATTTCAATGTATTGAGACAATGAGATCAAAATTTGTGTGCTTCTGGCCTGCCACATTTATCAAAAATTAAGCCTATGTATTTGTATCCCTATCTGATATAACAGAGTTGATGCTGACGCTATAGACGACAGTCACTCTGCTGGTTGACGATTACTGCATAGGGCTGTCAGTCAAATACAGTTATCGGTTCACTGTCTAACAATAATTGGCTCAAATAACCAGTGTTTGCGAAGTAGCGCACTCTTTACAGCCTGATGCTTCATAATTGTCTAATAGGTGCGCTTCTGCCTGACCATTTCAGATAAAGTATGAATCACGCGATTGAATTGCCAAAATTAGACGAAACATTTAAACATCTTGGTGGAACAATACAGACGAGATCGCTACCACATAGCAATAGACAAAGAAAGTTAAATGCTCGTTTAATTAAATAGCGGACCGGCGGACAATTTCAAAACTACGACCCGTTCCACATTAGCCTTTGAAGAGAGGTACTACAAATGCAGTCTCGGTGACCAATTGCATCCACGTAACTTACCTGTTACCTGACCTCCAATCCTGGAATGCATATAACCAATAATCTACTCATCAATTCAGTTCAGACAGTATGATTTACATCTTCTAAGCATGAGTATTATGATCATAATTAGTGTTGTCGGGATCACTGGCTTTTATGCAAGTATCACTGAGACTTGTGACGCTTTGCAAGACTAATTAGAGTTTCTGACAAATTATAGCAAATAGCGGCTTGCAGGACTGAGAGTACTACTTTAAATTAAAATATCTGTGCAGTAGGTGGGCTAACTCCTAAAATGTCGTCCGAAATTTGAAAATTCGTTCTCATTTCGAAAACATTAACTAAATGGGACTGTAAAGCTAATTATAATGCAGCGCAATTCTATAATAATCGAGTTACCTCAGGATAACGCCTTACAAAAGAACATCTTTTAGGCTGCGTGCAAGAATATTTTGCAAAAAATGACTATTTAAATAACAATAATTTTTCTCACTGATTTTTGATATCATTAGCTTAGTTTCAGTTTATTTTATTTGGTAAGGATAATAGGCAAAGCCTTTGAAAACCCTATTGATAACATGTTAGCTCGTTAGTAATAACTGTACACGACCAAAAAATGGTCACTATGAAAATAATATATGGTTCATTTGAGCAGCATTGTCTCAGAGAAAATATTTGTCTGGACCAGGGGTATTAATTCAGAGTCAGACTGTCGATGGAAAACAGAGGACACACATAATCATCCAAGCGTTTCTTGAAGAGTTGCAGGGACGTAGCCTCCACGACTGACTGAGAGAGATCGTTCCATTTCTCCAATACCTTCTGAGTGAAAAATTCAGAACGAAGATTAAGCCTGGACATTGTTGTCCGTAACTTAATCGACTCACCACGGAGATGGGTGAAAGGTGCTACTAAAACATGTCCTTAAAGTTAAGTCCATACTCAAGGCCATGTATTATCATGTAGACGAGGATAAGATCACCTCTTAGCTGCTTGTAACGCAGAGGGAATAAATCAAGGAAATTCAGTCTGTCTGTGTATGATTGGTATTTTAGACCGTTTACTAGCATTGTTGCACGCCGTTTAACTTGTTCAAGGCATGTTTGGTCTTTTACTAGCCACGGCCGCCATGCTTACATGCCATATTCCAAGTGGGGCTAATTATATTTTATGGAAAACATGCATAAAATTCGTCATTGTTTGCTCATTGGATAGAAAGATACGTCTTATACCAAGGTTATACTCAAAGAAAGGCTATAATTCGGTTTCAAAAAATTTCCTTATTGTAAGATATTTTGATACCGTGAAATACGTGTTCATAAAGCAGCATGTATCCGCATTTAACAATGTGGCTTGCACAGTTAACAATTCGGCTCAAATCCCCTGCTACACTTTGTGAACACTTATAGTCTCCTCCTTATACTACAGAGCAATGTATGCTTTTATGTACGCGGAAAGTATACGGCTTCTAGATTGAAACTCTGAAGTAAAGTTAAACAGCAGGTTCGCTTCAAAAAATTATCGGGGTTTGGGCAAGTTTCGCAATTTGCTTGCATTATTTATCAGCTTTACTCATCCTGTTATATTTGGTTTGAATTAAAAAAGGTTATTATCTGTTTCTAAAGTTTATCCATGGCCGTTTGCATCAACGATACGCATGTAGAAAATTAACACACGCCAACCTACTCAGACCTTACTTCTAACTTGCAATTTCACAAACGTTGATTTAAGCATAGGAGAACGCGATGTGGTTATACCAGCTGTGCAATGAGGAACATAGACACTGCTCATTTGTGTCCTACAGAGCTCAAGATAAAACCAAGGGCCAAGGCTGTTGTGACGCGTGTGCAAAGCAACGAGGTTGTATTTTAATCTCTATTTGCCTCTTTTATATTCTATTAACTCCAACACCACCACCACTTCCGCTTCAACCACCGCCACAACCACCACCGTCACAAACAACACCACCATCATCGTTCATTTATCATGATCATCGTAAATGAGTTCACATGCCCCTTCCCTTGCCTATTATCGTTCTTATGTTGACGATAAAGTATTTCATGCTTTTTGGGAAATAAAAGGAAAAAACTGCGGTATATTTTTGAGAAAAAGGCAACAAATTGTGCGAGTCGTATGAGGTTTATGGACGAAAGGGATATGCAAAGATCTTTGATCAACACGTCAAGTGTGACCATTTGTGTCGCCTGGTCGAAAGAGGTTAAACAAGGCCTTGTTATTTAGTCGTTTAGTTCAACATAGCTCCTACAACGACTTCGAAATTTGCTCCAGCGAACTGCATCCATGCACTTAAATAAAACGAATACATAGAACCATTAATGTCTTCAAAAAATGCGTCTTCATATGCAATGACTGGCCAAACCGCGAGTCTTAATATTTTTGCTGTGATATCCAATAACACAATAAAGCACTCGCTACTGTTAACAGCAGGTGCGGTTCAAAATTATTCGGGATTTGAAAACGTTTTTGAAAAAAAAATTATATCCCTCCTTTGAGGATACATGTGGAAGAAGACACAATTTCGTTCCAACTGAGTAAAGGAGCGAATATTTCATGCATGTTTTCTGTAAAATATATCTGAACATTTAAGGGCGTCGAAAATCAACGGAACAATATCATGCTATTTAAGTACTCCTGTTTTTCAGAGTGGGTTTCTTGCATGCAACCGCAAACAAGTTAGTTGGAAAGGCGGTACGCTGCGGTAACTAGATTATTATAGAATTATGCTGCATGACGATTAGTTTTACAAAAATACTTAATTAAAATTTTTAAAACTAGAACGCGTTTCAAAACGTCGGCTGACACTAGTTAATTTGCCCATCTACTGTAGGTCACGAAAGAAAGAATTATTGCTAGCTATTACTTTCAAAAGTCCATATTACGTCCTCAAAAATTTCTTAATTTTAACCAATGTTTGAGGAGACCTCCTTATAAAGACGCAGTCATATTTTAATATGCAATATTACACAGTACACATATTATCTAATCATGAAATATTTGAAGACTTCCTTCACAGTGCTTAGCCGAGAGGGTTTCTATGGAATCACTTAAATCTCTTCGTCCAATTTTTTTTCGCAAGTCCTTGCTTTTTGAAGTCGAGTGTGTCTACCATTGTAAGCCAATTATCTCATAGCTGATTTAATTTTCGTGCAAATTATTTCATTCATAAATGGAAAGTTTGGCAATTGCGATATTCTCCAGGATGTGCGAAGGATACAGGGACTTAGATGAAAAATGGCGTGGAATTGCGGGGTTTTTTATAATTTTAACTGTAGTGGTTATATTCGCTTCTCACATGCCGACGACGAACACAGATATTGTGCTTTCCCACTGCGTAAACTATTACTTGACGAGGGTTTTGCCCAATAAAATACCAGTTAAAGCTAAGATGCGGCTATGTAAACAATATAGGGTTGTCCAAATACGAATCAGTTAGTTGAAGGCGGTATATAATGCCGAGTCCTCGTTGGTTGACCCTGATTCGGGTATTTCTGTTTCTGCTTAGTGGCGCTTTGGGCAAGTTTCGCAATTAGCTTGCATTATTCATCAGCTTTACACATCCTGTTATATTTGGTTTAGATAATAAAAGGTTATTATCTGTTTTTAAAGTTTGTCTATAGCTGTCTGCATCAACGATACGTATGTAGAAACTCTACAAATGCCAACCTACTTAGAATTTCCTTCTGACTTGCGATTTCACAAACGTTGCTTTTAGCGAAGGACAACACAATGCGGTTGTACTAACTGTGCAAAGAGGAACGAAGATATTGCTCATTTGTGTCCTACAGAGCTCAATATATAACCAAGGGCTTCGACTGTCGTAACGCGTGTGCAAAGCTACGAGGTTGTATTTTTAAACCATACTCGCCCCTGGTATATTCCACCACCACCACCACCACCACCACCACCACCACCACCACCACCACCACCACCACCACTACCACCACTACCACTACCACCACAACCACCACCGTCACAAACAACACCACCATCATCGTTCATTTATCATGATCATCGTAAATGAGTTCACATGCCCCTTCCCTTGCCTATTATCGTTCTTATGTTGACGATAAAGTATTTCTTGTTTTTGGGAAATAAAATGAAAAAAATGCGGTATATTTTTGAGAAAAAGGCAACAAATTGTGCGAGTCATATGAGGTTTATGGACGAAAGGGATATGCAAAGAACTTTGATCAACACGTCACGTGTGACCATATGTGTCGTCTGGTCGAAAGAGGTTAAACAGCGCCTTGTTATTTAGTCGTTTAGTTCAACACAGCTCCTCCAACGACTTCTAAATTTCCTTCAGCGAACTGCATCCATGCACTAAAATAAAACGAATACATGGAGCCTTTAACGTCTTCAAAACATGCGTTTTCAAATGCAATGACTGGCCAAACCGCGAGTTTTAATATTTTTGCTGTGATATCCAATAACATAATAAAGCACTCGCTACTGTTATCAACTCTTTTTTCCTTTTAGTGGAAAACAGCGTTGAGTACACAGCATTCTACTGTCCTCATGATGAATACTGTCAGGATGCTACATTCTTTATCAGACCAAATGTCACAAATGCATTTGAGGAACTGAAGACCTGCCTTAACAACTGCATGTCAGGTTATCTTCAGCTTTCCAAAGCACAGAGTATTGTGTGACATCTTTGAATTAAAACGCCACACTTTCGTTATAAGGCTCGTCGATTTGCCAATCATACTTTAACCATCAATTACATTTCGATGTAAATTACTATTAATCTGTTCGTTTTATGATGTTTAGCAGTAGACGCTTACAATCAATTAAACATACCTTCATGTATTCAAGTTGTAAATCTCCTAGCAGACTAGGTGCTTGCACTCTAAAGCCCGTTTTTTGCACCACGAACTAGATCTTACGGTTTTAACTCTCAGATAGGTGCGGTATGTCTGACAAGCACTTTTGCATATTACGTAAAACGAGGTTCTTCATATGCTTATTCAGAATCTCCATATGGCCTATTTTACATCGTTTAGGAACTCGCACACCATAAGAAGGTATATAGTTTTACTGAATAAAACGTTTTTACTATTTCAGAGTAAGCATTCTCGTAAAAGCTTGATTTTAAGCGGATCATCTCCGATTTATTTTTACCGACGAGTTCTCTGCAGGTTTGAGACATTATAGAATTTAATGGTGTGGGTACCTGCGCCTCAGATCTTTTAATTTGTGACTGCTATTAAATAAATTACAAACAGCGGCAGACCTGCTACTTGATGCGGATGACAAACCTGTACTTGTCTTCTGAATTGTTCTATTCAAATACTATGCTCAACCGAAAATCGAATTGAAGAACACGCTCAGACTACTGATGAACATACTGATTGTACCTACCATTGATGACTTGTTGTAGATCTTGAACAAATGTCTAATGCGTATATGACAGTTCGACCATCGATTTCGATGAGGTCCACCGTGTGCTTCATAGCTGCAGCAGCAGTGGGAGCAGGGACGGTGACTTGCGCAGGGGTTTATAGTGCCGGTAGACTTGCGTTGCATCTACCTTCACTCTCTCATCCTCCCTCGCCCGAGCCCGGTTTCAAGACAGAGTCAAGAAGACCGTAGACGAGGGAGGCCGCAGGTGGATGGCTCGGACGGAGCCTTACCTTGGTGTTCCACCACACCCCCCGTTACACACAACAAATAATTAGGATTTCAAACAACACAATCGAGACTGGAGGCTGTCACGGCCGAAGCCGCACCTAGGCGTACCGCCGACGCCTTGCTCGGGTCCCACACTGTGGTGGGTGTGCCATAAAGGCCATATTAAGAAGCAGTTATTGCAGCCTGGCTCTCAAATCCCCAGCAGTCGAGGAGGAGGTCCAGGTTATCCCGTCAGTTGGCAACATTCCAAGTCACGGCTTTTAGCGCACCTTGATAGCTTCAAGCGCGTCAGATTGTTTATAGTGAGGAGAAAGTGCGCTGAGTCGTCGACCTCACTCTCCCATCCCGCTCCCACACAGCAGCCGCTGTCCGAGCTGGTCAGCAGACTGGAGTAGGGAGTGGGCGCGGTGGCTGTCATGGTCGACTGACCATGCCTGCGCGCGCCACAGCACGACCTGGCCCCCAATACACACAAACACCAGGATTTCACACAACGGGGGTTGAACGGCGTGTCTCTCACATGCGTGAGAGGTCCGGGGAAGGTGCTGCTTCAGCCTGTCCCCAGCCCACCAGTCCAACACTACACAACACACACACACAACGCGACGAACTGCGTAAGCCGAGAGCGGGCGTCAATCAGCAATCTTCTTATCCACGACGCTTGACGTGTCGGGATAGTCTCGAACTCAAGTCACCCGTGCAGTCAAAGCCTTATGAGGACCGAGTCGAGATGCGGACTTCCCATTTGCGCGGGAGTTGGCAATTGGGTGCGTGTTGATATGTGGTGGTGATGGTGGAGGAAGGTAGGGAGTGTGTGGATGTGTGGTGTAACCGGCGGTTGTCCACCGCAGGTCATCGTGGATACGCATGTATTCGAATAGGCCCATGCGATGCCTGAAACTGCGAGGGCACTGTGGGCAGTTGAGACGAGCGTGGTGGGTGTAGGTTAGTGCTCTAGGCACTGGTTTGCCAGTCTCTGTGCGATGGATTCTCAAGTGACCGACCAGGCCGATGCGTGAGATGAACGTGCGTGGGCAGAGGGGGCATGAGAGGTCGACGTTGTCAGTGTCAGCTGTAGAGGAATCGTTGGTGGTGGTGGTGGTGGTGGTGATGGTGGTGGTGGTGGTGATGGTGGTGGTGTTGCTGGTGGTGTTGGTGGTGATGGACGCGTGTGGCGATGGAGCGAGGTTGGTGTTGGTCCTGGTGGGTGTGTTGGATGTGGTGGGTGTGTCGGAATTGTGGTCAATACCGCTCTCCTGAATGCGCATGTGGCCGAATAGACCCATGCGATGCGTGAATGTGCGAGGGCAGTGTGGGCAGTGGAGGCGTGTGCGGTGGGTGTAGGTTGGCGCTCCAGGCACTGGCTCGCCAGTCTCTGTGTGATGGATTCGCAAGTGGCCGACCAGGCCGATGTGTGAGGTGAAGGTGCGGTCGCAGTGAGGGCAAGTCTTGTCCTGATCCTCATTCCTGGAGTCGGGAGAGGTGAGGGTGGTATCTGTTGTTGTGTCGCGGTTGGTGATGTGCGAGAGGGCCGCCTGAGCAACCGCCGTTGGGGCAGTGGTGGAGGAGGAGAAAGAAAAGGAGGAGGATGTGGAGGAGGAGGAGGAGGAGGAGGAGGAGGAGGAGGAGGAGAATGGAAGTTGTGGGTCAGAAGAATTGTCGGTTATTTGGCGGCGGAGAGGAGAAGAAATAGGCGGGCTGGGGGACGATGGTTGGTGCAGTTCGAGAGGCGCTGTCAAACCGAAGATGTCCAATAATTCTGATTTGAGCCCGGAATGTCTGTTTACATCGAGGACACGTTGGAAGCGGTTGTGCGACGTCGTTGCGTACTGGACAAAGTTGTGATTTGCGGGGTTCGCGTTTTGCTTTGGAGGCAGCGATGCGGTCGTCTTCGTAGATCGCAACGCCTGTCTTCACTGTTCTCCTCCAGGTCGGTTGATCGAGTGCGAGGTCCTCCCAGTTGGAGGAGTTGATTTGCAGGCGTTTCGGGGAGGACTTCGGGGTATCCTTGTAACGGCGAAACTGGCCTCCTTGACGACGAGAACCCGTAGCGCCATCTTCGTAGAAGAGGCGTTTGTTAGTCGCTCGTCGTCCTTGCGCACCAGTTGGCCGCTCCAGCGCAGCTGCATTTGCCTTAGTTTGGCGTAGATGCTGAGGATTCCCGTCCGTCCCAGAACATCACTGTCGGGAATTCGATCTTGCCAGTTCAGTTTCAGGATGAGACGGAGACAGTTAGGGTGAAAGTGGTTCAGTCGACGTGCCTGCTTTGCGTACACCTTCCAAGTCTCCGCTCCATACAGTAGTGTCGGCAGGATGACGGCCTTGTACATTTTTAGCTTCGTGCTCAGCTGTAGACCGTGACGAATTCAACTTGTGCTTTGGAAGCGACCGACGGCTTGACTGGCTGAAGGAAGGAACCTTGTCTCGTTTGTGTAGACTGAGTGGAAGAACTGGGAAAAATACGCAGCTTTAACCCTAGTATCAACAATCTCTAACCGCATCACTTATCCTTATTAATGGGATTTGATGCCTGTTTCTTGTACTTCGTCAGAGGTAACTGTAGAGTAATTTTGGGTTTTGCGTTGCCTTTTGACAAAGTTCTTCTCGAATTCCCGCCGCGTCTTCATGATTATGCTCCTCAATTTCTTCCTCTGTGTCTTATAGGTGTTGTAATATTCAACTTGCTCAGTGACGCAGTATTTTCACCACAATTTGTGCATCCTGTTGATTTCTTTCTTAAGGTTCCTATTTAGCCACCCAGGCTGTTTATTCAGTCTTACACTAGTCAGTGGGCAGCGGTTGTTGATGAGCTGCAGAAGGACATACTTGAACAACTCCCTGTCATCGTTGACATTTCCCGGTAACAGTGAGCCCCAGTCGAGACCGGATAAGTCTGCCCTCACCTGATTTAAGTCTCTTCGCCAAACATTCCGTCTTTTTTGGTCTGGAGCATGTGAATTGGAGAATAACGAATAATCCCACATAAGCACTATGTGATCACTTCGGCCAAGGGGCGGCATGGAGGTGATCTCGTCTATGCTGTCTGGTGTTTTCGTAAAAGCCAGATCCAGGCAGTTTGTCCTTCGTCCTTCACGTGTTCTCGTTGAGAACGTTACATGTTGTGTGAGGGATGCCTTTAATGTTTTGTTCAGCAGACGGTAATCGAATGACGATTTTGGACCTGATGCTTGGAGGGGATTCCAGTTTGTTCCCTGAAGCGTTGAAGTCACCCATGATCACGATGTTAGGTCGACTAGAAAATTTATTCCAAATGCTCTAATACTTAAGTGTTTGCGATTTGCTCCGTCCTAGGTGGTCGGTAGACAGTGCGGACATCAAGACACGGCCCTGCCAGCACCAGCCCCGCCTAGCCCCGCCTGGCCCCCTCAATAATGGCGCGGCTAGAGGGGGCTATGAGGGGGCTAGGCGGGGCTGTGGAGGGGGCTGTGGCGGGGCATGCAACGCGATAGCCCCGCCTAGCCCCGCCAGCGAAAAAAAATGCGCAGGGGACGCCACATCCCAGCCCACTTTTGGCACCACTTTAAAATATCGTCCCCATTGTCAAATATACGAATTAATAACACACACAGATTGTAAACCGGTGGACAAATAAGAGTTTAAGCAATGAGGGACTTAAACAAATCCTCAATATATTGTGCTCATCCGCAGCTACATTCAGTGGACGTAAACGGATGCTTTCTCCATGGTTTATAAGCCAATTTTGATAAATTAGCTCCTTTAAATTCCAAAGAAGGTACAATAAGTGGTGCTTTTGGAACATATCTTGCGATGCAAATACGCTTCAAAAGGCTTCAATCCAGGGGGGGCTCTGGCCCCGCCCAGCCCCCTCCAGCCCCGCCTATGAAGGAGCCATGTGCTGGCAGGCGGGGCTCTGGCCCCACCCAGCCCCTTCCAGCCCCGCCTATGAAGGGGCAATGTGCTGGCAGGGGGGGAACCGGTAGCCTTGATCGTCAACCAAATAGCTACCGTGCCGCAGGCGAACTTGGTGGTATTTTCCGACACTGCCAGGCTTTCATTTACATACACAACTATGGCACCGCCCAGACAATTTTTTCCCTGTCACTCCGATAAATTTGGTATCCAGGCAAGGCTACTTCATTATTGCTAGTATTTCCGGACAGCCAGGTCTCAGTTACTGCAAAAACATCTGGAGACAGTTCGGCAAGGGAAATTTCTAACTCGTCTAGTATCGATATGAGGCTTTGGGCATACGTGTACAAGCACCTCAGTTTTGCACTAGTCGAATCTCCCTTTGCATTTGTTACTGTTTCGAGAATTGCTCCGTAATCTCGATCGCCATATTCACTGGGCTGGTGGATTCCATATATATACGTTGCTTCAGTCAGATCACTACACATTATTCGCCTACTTGTGTTGCCGCCTTGAGCAGGTGGCTCAACGAAGGTATCTGAGTTAGCTGGCTGGCTACCGTCGTTCTTTGTATTACAGGCTGTTTCCACTAAAACGGCATATATTTCCGAACTACCTACCCCTTGAAGATAGCCAGATTGTGTTCGCCATCCTTCAGTCTTAATTTGAATTCCAAGACAAATTCTTGGCGTTTCAGCCATTCCGCTAGTGAAAAGTGCGGTTGAAAAAAGCCTTTTCGTGTATATTTCTGAGGTCGGTTTTTTAGAGAGGACAATTTGATTTGCTCTTTGTTCTCCAGCATTATTTTGAGCGGGCGAGGTAGTTGTGCTGCTGTCCTGTGTTCACTCCTTTTTTCCTATCCTGAATGCTTTCAGAACTTTTATTTCTATGTCTGCCTGGAGTAACTGATTTAGTAGACCATGAAAAGAATCAAGGTCCTCTGAGACACGGTCTTTAGGTCTGACAGCATTCGATTCCGACAAACCCTAAATAACGAGACACTGCTGGCGAGCATCGTCCTTCCTTTGTCTTTACGGAGAATTCGCTGAATGTGGGCGAGGACGATTTACGGAGTCGTCGCTGGGACGCACGCTTTTGTTGTCTACCGACTGTCCAGAGCAACCCATAAGGTCTGGCTGTGACTTCAGACACTTGTCATGGCGTTTTCCTCTCCCCTCTACCCACGGGTTCATGTTTTCGAATTCAGATACGAGCTCTGTAGTTCGCTGAGGGTGGTTGCCAGAATAAGAGGGCAATAGTAGACTGGATGTCCAGTTATATCGTCTCCAAGCAGAAGAGAATTCCCGTCACTTACAGCAAAATGTTTAGGCGAGATAGCTTCTGCGTCAGGTAATTTTTGTGTGACATCGCTAAAGACATCTTGCATGTGAATCTAGTCTGCCCTCATCGGCGGCTTCGTTCTCGTTGTCCTGCTATTACTGGCGTCCGCGATTTTGGCTACTGAGTTTCTTTTCGTGATGAAAGATGTCCCCGAAGATATGTTTTTTGCGTTTTTTGCGTTTTGCTCTTCGTTTTCGGGACTATTACACTGGACACGTTCTGGTCGTCTATGATCTGTTTCACGAGCGACCTAAAATCGGCAGTAAGAAAGTCCTTTACCCAGGTTAATAGGTTTCCCCTTATCCCTGACTCTCGGACCTTATAAAGTAACCGGTGGTGTGACACGCTATCAAAGGCTTTCTTGAAATCAATGTTAACGATATCGAACTTTGTTCCTGCGTCTAACGAGCGAGCCCACTGTTCCCTTGAATACAACATATTAGTTAGGCAGGAGTGATTTCGTCGAAAGAAATGTTGAGAACTAGCAATGAAATCATTTTCTTCAAGGAACTTCATTATAAATTTTTTTGACTATTCTCTTCTTAACTTTGCAACAAATCTACGTAAGGCTCGCCGGCCGATAACTGTTTGTAATTGTTCTAGATCCACCCTTTGTAAATGAGGTATATGTTCGCCACTCTGCAATCAGTGGGGAGTGTGCCTCGGTCAAAGCACGATGTTGAAGACAATGTCATATAATCTGCCTAGTCATTTAGACTACCAGACGCATTTTGGCGGAACATATGAATGGAGACCGATGCGTTTTAATTATAGCCGGTTGGTTTGTTTAGAGATTTTCTGCATAGTATCAGACGGTACTGATTGTGTTGGTTAAGTCCATCTTTGAAGAGCAAAGTAGGGGCAGCTAAGATAAATGAAAATGCAAAATTTTAATTTGGAGGTAGCTGCCTCAGAGTTGATGGAGCGAATCAGTCCCACTGGGATATGTTTTCCGGGCCAATTCCATCGGAAATTCTGACTACGTACGGACTGGGTGATGAACACTAACAGACGGTTCGCTCAGTTAGTTCACATAAAAAATGGTATCGCGTTCTTCACGTCTGGCCACCCATTTTTGCATTGAAGCCTGTCTTGCCAACATGCAATTTGGTCAATGAATGTTGTTGGGACAATCTTTGCTGCATATTATCGTCATACTACCCTGTCGCGTAATATTACCAAGGTCTCAGGACCTGAGGCATTGCGTCATCAAAAATCCTCCACTTCTTACATTCAAAAATACTCTTCTGTGGTAGGAGATTAGAGATTATAAACTGAGTTCTAGTCCGACTTTCGAATCGAAACGCTCGCACATTAATTCTCAGCATCGTGCAGTTGAATAGAAGATAACATAAGATTGTCATTAGAACGTTGAGCTAGTCTGCACACCATCCTATATCTGCCCATCCTCATAAATTACTGCCCAACATATTCGGCAGCAGAGAACTCCTCCAAGGAGGTGGATCACGATGAAGAAATGAATGATGATCAATGGACGCCCGAAGGAACTCCCTTTCCTTCTGCCGACGACGACAGTAAATGCAAACATCACTACCTCGTGTTCCTTGCAGCGTTTCCCACTGATTACTTTCCCTCTTGTGCTCTTGCTAGTCCGTCTAACACATTTTGTTTTTACCTTGAATTTAAACCCGCTTATGTATTCTGAAAGGTAGTTGTGGGTGTCATGGGAGAATTATGTAAGGAGCTGTCAGTCTGCCTCATTCATCATTCGTTTAGGATTATGTTTTTTAGCAAACAAATACCAAACTCCAAATTTGAATTTAAACAGCGCAGATGTTATCGATGAGCAGAATTATGTTTCTTGGTCCCTTAAATCAGACGGCTCAATAGAATGAGAATTTCGTATCCACAGTTATTAGTGTATAACTTATGGAAATCCTAGGGCATAAAAGGCCAGCAAAATCATACCGGGAGTAGTAAATCAGCATTGATTATTTTCCTGCCATCCACAAGATTCAGCATTCCTTAGAATAGGAATGGTGCATAAATGCGAAAAGTTCGTAAATCCCCTAGCATACATAAGCATGTGAAGGCGTTCTGGTTTAACTACCCACGGTTTATAATTTTACATACTTTACGCAGCCAGATTTACGTGCAAACCTCTTTCAAAATATTATTCGGACAAGGGAAATACATAAGCTTTATTAGTCCTATCGAGGTAACGCCTTCCATTGAATACTTTTGTTATAATTAGACTAATTTTATCATGAATAAATTAAAAAGAAGTGTTATTATGTCCAATTATGTGACCGCTCAATGGGATCTTCCCCAACCATGTTGTAGCTTACTGAAAATGACTGAAGCATAAATTCATCAAATGGGGCACACCTCGATGAAGATCACACTAATCCGAGTATTTGAAACGCCGTCCAAGCTTTATCCATTTTTGCTGCTTATTCTTCACTGTTATTTGTTGTCTTTGATATATCCACCCTGATTGACTTCTTCTTTGCCGGCTGCATATTTGGTTTAAATCTTGTCATGAAGAGCGATGAGACGAAATTGGAAATTTATTTTTGGTCGTTGTTACCACCTCGCCTCAGCTATTCCGTCTGCATATTAAAATGCAGTGGCAACGTCGCTATATGTATGGATAATAATAATTTCATCTTATACCAGTTCATAGGCCTTGCCAGGTGAAGGTAAAATACACATCCAGCCAGCGGTGGAAAACAAATTGCTGAAAAAAATAAAAATAATGATAATTATGGTTTTCATGGTTTGGAGAGTTCAAGAGAAAAAGGCTGCTGCACATGACATGACGTCAGTCAATAAAGGAAAGGGTAGCACTGAAGTCGGTATTTCCGTTGATGAAGTTGGGACTGCACCACCGAGAAGCACTGAAGAACAGCTGTCGCTGTTGGCGAAAGAAAGTTTCCTTGGTGAGACTAGCCGTGGGTATCAGGGATCACCAACGCCATCACTACGATACATTCGATCGATGGATCAGCACCCAAAATGTGTGTGCCTTTCTGAAAGCAAAAAGCGCGTAATCGTTCTATTAAACAACGGATAATTTTGCACAGTTTTCATATTCCTACGTCATGTACTTTAAATGGAAATTACGTTCATATAAAAGGACCGACGATATTTAACAGGGAAAGACATAAAAAGACCTCACGGCAACTATTACGTCAAGGCCGAGCGAGCGGTTTTACAGTAGTGAGAATAAGCAGTAGAAAAAGTCCCTTTTTAGCCAGTAAAACCAGAAAGCCTAAAGCCTGGACTCTTGCAACGTTCTTGGTGCGACAAAATTATGTGTTCTGGGGTTAAAATGCTTTTAGTAAAAAAAGATTGTACGTATTCTATCTTCTTCTGTTCAACAGCATGCGTAGGGTTAAATAAAACGAACAGTATTCAGGTCTGACGCTCATGTTATAAAGGTGCATTCTAATGTCGCTGGTTTTAAAATTTCGAAGGATTAAGCCGGTCGATCTAAGTCCTCTGGAGACTATCAGGGCCCAGTATTCAGAAAGATTAATACTCTCGGAGTATGATACACCGATATCCTTAATAAACTCAGGCAAATTTATGTCGTGGCCGTCAATACTTAGTTGAGGTTGGTGGTCGTCGCCAACCACCATGACTAAACACTTGTGCCATGAAAAAAAAGGCGCCATGTGCATCATCGCTGAGCAAGGGCCTGTGGGTCACGATCTGCCGGCTTATGCCTGTGAGCAACTTTCGGATCATTGACATACATGAAGGGCTTACCATTCTGAAATAATTCTGGTACATCTTCAACAAAAAGACAAAATAATAGCGGGTCCACTGCACTGCCTAAACTTACTCCACTCCTCACACGTTTGGAGATAGCGATAGCAGTGGAACTCTTAACTCGTTGTGTACGAGTGTCCAGGTAAGAGAATTTAAAATTTAGAAGTTTGCCACCTTTGCCGACAGAGGACAGTTTCAAGAGAATGAGAGCATGGCCAACACCATCAAGAGCCTTAGTGACCGCGTAAAGACTAAAACCATTTTACCTAGATAGGAGGGCTGAGAGGAGTCACAAGACCGAGCTTTAGGGAATCCATTCTGTGCAGCGTTGAGGAGGTTATTGTCTGTTAAGCGACACATCATCTTATCTTTCACCAATGTCTTTACAATCTTCGGAACTTCGGGGAGGCTGTTTGTTAGCCAAAACTCATCGAATGATGTTGATGGGCCATGCCTGAGTGTAGGCAAAATTTGTGATTCTTCCCATAAATTTGGATAGGTCTCAAGTGCAATACGGATGGGAAAATTTCATTGACATCCGCTTTTAGAATGATAACTGGTACACCATCAGGTTCAGGGGTTTGAGATTATCAAGGACGCTGAATCGCTACACACTTGTCTAACCCGAAGTAAAAGGTATATTTCTGACAACTGCGCCGATCTAGGCCTAAATGATGCGAAGTGGATTGGTCCAGATTTTAATAAAAGTTCAGGACAGAAGAGCAATGAAACTATCACCTGTCAACTGGGCATCAGCTGTAGGATCCCCTACAGTGTCTCGGAATGTGGGCTGATGCGTTTTTCTATGAGTTTGTACTTTCTGAGAGAAGAATCTCGAGAAATTTGACGAACGGTTTTCGTTAAATTGGCACTCTACGGCTAACTGTTTGTCCTCTAACAATCTCTTAGTCCTTCACAAATCGAGGGCAGAACGGAAACATCATCCTAAAAATGAATCGACCTAAAAGTCTGCGTAACCGGTTGCGATAGAGTAAAGGTAAGAAAACCTCATCCCCGACAGAAAATTAGGTCAAGTATGTATGATCCTTGGCTAAAAATATCAACAATCTGATTCAACATCGCAGTATTCGCAGCCTCAAGAGCACGCAGCTGCGTTCTACGACGAAATAATTGTGAAGGTCAAGCGGCAGAAATGTAAGAGTTTACTTACCGTAGATGCAACTGCTCCTACCACGTCTCTCTTCACGTTGATTGTGAATGAAGATATAGCCTAGGATAGAGAGTCCGGAATCAGCTGCTGAAGTTGATGTCCATGTCTCGGCCACAGAACAATATCTGGGCAATGGACAAACACTAGATTCTGAAGCAAGGTCATCTTATTAAGCAAGGATCTAGCATTTAGAACAACATTAATTGGGAGGAAAGACTGTTTGTTTCTGGGGAAGGTGAGCTACATCGTCCAGTGACTAGGTGCCCACAGAACATACCGACCGGATGCACACATCCAGTTCTGCAAGAACGTTTGTGGCATCAAAAGATCCTGACGCGAATAAAGGATAGTCGGATTTTGGGAGGAAATGACGGGCAGAAAATTTAACTAACCCAGTGTGGACATTAGCAGGAGTATTGCACTGGAAAAACGGCCGTGGGTGGGGGACGCACTGCCTCCGTTGGAGCAGTAATTCTGTTTAAAGGCAGGAATGTTAGCGTATTCGGATTAAACACCTCGATATGAGTTTTGTGGGTAGTTAGGGACACGTTTTGTTTTGGGCCGTTGTCTGACACGGGGTCAAGAAAGAGGCGCTTCACGAAAACGACAACCTTACCAGCCTGTCCACCACAACTGGGTGAAAGTTTACCCGGCAATGAAAGACGACTTTTACAAATGACTCAAATAACGAATAGGCATTTATTGCTTAAGAAGATCAAGGTAAAGGCAAAGCATCACGTATTTTTGAAATTGGTTTCAGCTTCGCGACGTGAATCCAGTAAATACCAGTCACGGATTAGGAAGTAAGTAAGCATAGCCGGTTATAATGCCGCCCATTGGTCACACTTTGTGTATACTTAGAGCGTTCATGACATGAATTTCCTTTCCGAGCCAGCACTGGTACTAATGGCTGAGGCTGGTTTGCGTTAGGGGGACTCATTTCACCGTAAATTAAGAGCATTGGCGTCGTCTGACGTAGGGCGCAGGCCTCAGTTAAAGAGCAGAATGACTGTAGTCACTTGTCATAACTCCTCAGGAGTTCTTAAGTGTTGGAAAGAGCATTCTCTCTTCTTTTATTTTTGTTGCTGCGTCTCAGTCGTATTCCGTAACAGACGAACAGATGAACGAAGAATTGCCAGCAGAAGGCAGGCAGGTTGATTCTACTCAAGAGGATAGAGATGGGATTTTTGACGTCGATGGATCCCAACGACATAACACTATTCTTCTTCTGTTTTTTATGATCTCATTTTACTCTTCTCCGGTTAAAATGATACTCGTGTTTTGCTTCCTTTAAGTATGCAGAGAGGGACGTATTCTTCAACCAGTTAATCATGGGACCTTGTCTCCTGTTTACGCAACTACTAACAGAATTTGCCTTTGGAAAAGTGCGGCTTTCTGCTTGTTAGTTCCCAAACCTCATTTCACCTTAACCTCTGTAGCGATGCAGTCATTCTTAATGACGTCATGTCCCATGTTTCCAGGGACAAACTAGAGTTTGTGCCACGTAGATATCTCAAGCGCAATTCCTCAGATTCCCTTGTTCCTCATTTTCTTCCCAACAGACTAAACCAGCTGAGACGGCAACCGCGTGATCTTATCACTAGTTTCTTATCAGTTCGTCTTACAATCACAGAGTTCTTTCAGATGGCCTCAAGGATGCACCAACCGATCGACAGGCAAAGAGAATCACTTGTCCTCAGTGATTTGACCAACGGCAAATCCGTCGCTAACATCTTCCGTCAGCGGTCCTCCTCTAGCCTTGTCACGAAATTCCAACCCTGGTGAATGGTTACAAATTCGTCATCATTGATGACACAGAAAAGACGGAGTTGTTTAGCGCTTTCTTTGCAAAACATCATACTACTGAGTCCGAACAGGTCCCTTCCCTTCCTTCACTCTCAGATGGGAGACTGGCAACAATCGATGACACCTCCGATCTCATTAAGAACGCATAAGTCGTTTGAAACACCCACACTGCTCAGCAACGGACGGTAGTCAAAATTCGATCATTAAGCAAGCATCTGACCTTCCCATAATTCTCAGTAATTTATTTTTGGTTTATATTTCAGAAGTC